ACACTACATAAAAAATGAACCTTAACCCTTACACTCAGAGTTGGATTTACATGCCAGGTACCTAAAGACAGAGACTTCTATGATGCTTTCTTGCCCTTCCCCCCAAAAAAATAAATGGCAGAAAAAGTAGGTATAATTTATTTATTACCTGGATATTGCATGCATAAAAATATCTTTAAAAAAAAAAAGACTTGTATCAAGACTTGACAGCTAAATATGTATATATGTTTATATTTCTGCTTGTAATGAATTGTGTTTGCATCTGCGAATAAAGTGAGTGATGTGTATACGGCTGTGTAAATGCATGCAGGGTTAGAAGTGGTTATGGTAAAGGGGGGTTTAAGGTTTTAGAGGGGTTAACATCAGAGTTAGTTTAAATAAGGTGATTAGTGTTATATGGATTAAAGGTATGAGAGAGGTATATTTGTGGTATAAGGGTTTTTTTTAGAATTAAAGTTGGGCTGAATTTAGTAAATTATATGAGATATTCAGCTTTTTTTCCCTTCAATACCTCTGTGTATGTCAATTACGTCCCTGTGCTCCAGTGTCTCTATTGTAATATCTAGAATGATGTCTGTGCTGCCCATGCACACCCTAAGGAAGAACATGCTCAACTTGTAGGTTCTGTAAGAAGGGGGTAAGTAAAACAAAGTAAGACCTCATGGTTTCGTAACTAACTAGGTGTCTTAAGGGCTTTTTAACCTTGATGCCAGGTACTTGATTATAGTTATCATTATAACTATAACTATAATTACAATTACTATAATCATATCTTTCCAGCTGGCCCATATCTTAGTGTGGACCTCCTCTTTGCCTTTTAATCTATAGGCCATTTGTTTGTACTCATAGGAGGCCTCCACTCTATTCCACACTTCTGAAAAGGATGGTGCATTAATGCACTTCCATTCGCTTGCTTATACTGATTTTTGCTGGTGTATGGCAACATACCTTTGGTGTATTGAGAGGAGAGCTGGGGATAGGTAAAGGAGATAGCATTCCGGTGTAAATGGAATTGTTTGTGCTATTATCAGGGATATAGCTTCCTTTATCCGTTGCCAAAATGTCGACAACGTGGGACATTCCCAGAATATATGTTTGATAGAGCCAGTGTAGAGGCCACAGTGCCATTATAGTAATGACACATTATGATAAATTTTTACTAGCCTATTTGGGCCTCCCAGTGGGAAAGGCTACTAGAGGATGCCCTCGTTGTTTATATAGCTTGAAGCATAGTGGGGTTGGGAGGGTGATGTCAAAGTCCTTTTCCCATAACTCCATATATGTGTGTTTGATTAATGGGTCCACACCATTTATGGAAGTGTAGCATAAGGAAAGTGACTTTGCTTTTGTACGTTTGCCTATACAATGGAGGCCAAAGGTTGTTAGTTGTGTTTCATCACAGTGCTTTAGTTTGTGTGTTTGTGTTATGTGTTTTGTTCTTATGTAAGTAAAAAGGTCCCTTGCATGAAGATCGCATTATTTTTGCAGCTCTGGGAAGACTTTGAGGCCCTGAGTCGTGTATAAGTTTCGTATGGAAAGTACTCCCTTTCGAATCCAGGATCTCATGGGTATGTCTTCATATAGTGCTGAGGGTGTTTTCGTGGTGGCAAATAGGAGGAGGCTGTCTGTCCTTATCAGGGCGCATGCTCAGATCCTCCAACCATATACTAGAAACCATGTGGTGGGCATGGACCTTTGTCCTGTGGAGTCCCATTTCATAAATTACCATAGCATGTATTCTATAGTGTTTGGGTGTAGACATACGTCTTCCAGGGAGAGCCAAATCAGTGGTTTGGTGCCCGACAGGACTTCCAGTTCCTGTGCCCAAACCGCCACTCTATAGTATGATTTGATATTTCGGATGCCTAAACCTCCTTTGGATGGTGGTGTCCATGCTAAACGTCTTGCTATTCTTAGGGGTCTTTTTTTCCAAACGTATGCGTTGAAAATGGCCTGAAATCTTTTTAGAAGTTTGTCCGGTAAGGCTAAGGGGAAAGGAAAAGGTATAGGACATGAGTCAGCGCCAACATCTTTATGGCGTGCACCCTTCCCATCCATGATACCTCAAGATATTGCCACTTATCTAGTTATGCTGGCAGTTTGTGAGTTAAAGGCACATGATTCTCTTGAGTAAGGTGTGCAACCGACTTTGCTAAGTTAATGCCCAGATATTTCAGAGATGTTTTCCTCCAATTAAAGGGGTGTACCATATTGGAGGGGATGCCATTGGGAAGTGCTAGTGTTTTTTTAGGTTATTTTTATAGTAGGAGACCTGTCCATACTGTTGTAGGAGGTCCATCTGGTTAGGAATGGATGTTTGTGGCTGGGTAAGGAATAACAGTATGTCATCCGCAAACAGCACAATTTTTTGTGTCCCGGCCAGTGTGGTGAGACCCAGGATGTGATTTAATATGATGTATGACTGGTTCCAAACTAATAATGAATACGAGTGGTGAAAGAGGACAGCCCTGGTGGGTGCCGTTACTGATATGGAATGGATTGGACAAAAAACAGAGTTGAATAATCTGGCTGTTGGAGCTTGGTAAAGAGCCATGATACCTGTCAGGGTGGGTGTGGTGAATCCCATTTTTGTTAGTGTTTCCCTCATATAGTCCCAGTTCAAGTAGGCAAATGCCTTTTCAGCGTAGAGTGCCAGAACCGTCCCCCCTGCTTGCTATTCCTGGCCCAGTTGATTAGATTTATGAAGTGTCTAGTACTGTCACCTGTTTGTCTGCCTGGCACAAAGCCTGCCTGCTCTGCAGACACCAGGTCAGTTATCATGGGCTGTATCCTTGTTGCCCATATTTTTGCGTACAACTTAACATCTGTGTTAAGCAGGGATATGAGTCTGAGATTTTCACAGACTGTGGGGGCCTTGCCTGGTTTGGGCAATGTCACCACATGTGCTTCCAGCATCTCTGTTGGCATATTGCCTGAGTTTTTTGATATTGTTGAAAAGCATACTGCGAAATGGAGTCAGAGTTGGTTCTAGTTTACAGTAATAATAATTAGACAGTCCGTCGGGACCAGGGACCTTATGTTTTGGCAGGGAGAGAATAGCACGTCGGACTTCGTCTTCTGTGAATGCTCTGTCTAGTGCTATGATGTGTTGTCGGTTGAGTCGAGGTAATGTTATGCTGTCCAGATGTGTATGTCATTTATAGTTGGCTGATAGGTAATTTGGTCATTTTTCAGGTTATATATGTTATAGTGCTGAGCTAATTCATTGACAATATCTGACGGGTTGCAGAGTTTGCCCTTGGTATGTGAATCTATATAGGGGATTTTAGTTTGGTGCTGTTTGGCCTTTAGATTATTGGCTAAAAGCTTGCCTACTTTGTTGCCTTGTGTGTAGTACTTCAGTTTCAGAGACCTCATCCATCTTTTTGTGGTTATGAGTGAGAGGGACAGCACCGAGGGAACATCCAGCAGCCCCTCATTATGTCGCCACTTTCGCCTTCCCCTCGCTGGGTATAGAGATTGAAATGTGATTATTAGCGGGCATGGTCAGACCAAGTCCTCAGCCCAATGTTCACTGCCGCTACATTCGGCAAAGTTGTTTTATCTACTAGACAAAGGTCAATTCGGAAATACGTCATACGTCTTTATTTTTCGGGTATTTAGAGTGCCATGTATCATACTGGTTGTATTCGAAAAGAAGCTTGGAAAATAGGTTACCATTTATCACTGATTGTGAAGTGGGATGTCTGTTCTGTTCTCTTTTTATATTTAACTCTGGGTTCAATGTACAGTTAAAGTCACCACATATAATTACATGCCCTTGTTTGAGGGAGTCAATTTTTTTTTTTTATGGATTTGCGTATAAAGGCTACTTGGGCCTCATTTAGTGCATTTAGGGGAAACAAAAGTGACTAAAAAAATTCAGAGTTTCCACTAGGATCAGGAGCCTGCATAAAGCATCTGTGTATTTCTTGCTTTCCTGAAATACCCAATCTGCATGGAAGAAAATGGAAACTCCTTTTGACTTGTGTGGAGAGTAAGCATGAAAGTCTTGAGATAGGTTTTGGTGTATAATTGGGGAGGTTTGCATGAACACACGTGCGTTTCCTGGAAATATATTATGGCCGCCTTGGATTTATTCATTTCTTGGATGGCAAGGCGCAGTTTATGTGGGCTATTTAATCCCTTATGGTTAAGGGAGAAAACTTAGCCATTGATGTGAACAACATAGGTCATTAACCAGGTCTGTTGAAAGATATATATGGTCCCCTGATAAGTCTTCCCTAGTTATAGATTATGCACGATGAGAGCTTTTATGTGGATTGTTGGTGCATGAAGCACCCCCCCAGTGTTGCGCCCTGCAAGGGTGATGGAGTGCGGTTATAACAACTCTTTGGGTTAAGTACCTTATTGCAAATCTGAAATAGAAAAAGTAAGTTTGTTCGGGTCTTAGAGAAAAACAAAACAAGAAAAAACATGAATAAACAGTGAATAAAACAAGGTATATACAGAAAGCCTTTGCATGGCTCTCAAAGAAAGGGACCGACTTGGGAGTGTTGAAAGTCACTACCCACTTCGCGGTCTAGGAGGGGTGGCGGATAATCCATTAGGTTCCCTAACTATGAACTGCCCTGGTGTCACAATCTATTTAACCCATCTAGTGAATATATGTGGGTACTACAACCCAGAATTGGCTTTGCCGTTGAGCCCATCATTGGTGCTAGGCTGTTCAGAGCTCATCTTTGAGATTTAAAGCTGACCATCCTCACCACTGTGTCTGCCATGGGCCTATTTGTTAGCTTGGGTCAGTCTGGCCTCTGGAGTTTTCCTGAGGAGTATGAAACTTTTTACGGGCTGTAAAGGCAGAGGGGTTACCCATAAACATAGGATTTTAAATGAGGTGCACGGCTGCTAGTGATATTCTTGGCCCTCGTCTTCCTTTTAGTAGTCATAGCACAATATGCACAAATTACCCTATGACCCAGCCCTGGGTTGTGACTACCGGCAGTGTGACAGTGGATATGTTATAGAAACCTGGTTTAGTGATGTGAAAGAACATATACTCTTATAACCAAATAACAATAAACAGGCCTGGAAAGATGGTGGACCCTGTCGAAGGTCCAGGTCCAGGAAGTATCATCGAGGTGTGGCACCAGGGTTTTGTATAGGGCCTTGAGATATTGTGGTAGAGACTCTGCTGTTATAGCATCTGCTATTTTGCAAAAGCAGATATTATTGCGCCACAATCTATCTTCCATATCTGCCATATTCTGTTGCATTGCAGACTGCTCTTCCTCTAGCCTTTGCAATTTATCCACTACGTCATTGTGAGCGGTGCACAGCTCCTGGGTGTCTTTACGTAATATTGTAACCATTTGACGAAAGTCAGCTCTAAGGGATGCCTTACGATCTTGCAGCATGGTGTGTAAGCTTTTGTTAGTCATCTGGATATCCTCTTGAGAGAGTTAAAGGATCTCTGATTCCGCAGGACCGTCAGAGGCTGGTGAGTGCGGCATAGAGTCATCGCCATCTTGGAACTACCTCATGCGTTATTTTTTTGCTTTGCCACATCGGTTCTGTAATCTTTAGCTGTTTGGAGGGTGCCATCTGGTACTCTGGATTGGGTGTGCTTGGATTATGGCTGAAAATACTTCTTGTTTATTTTTAGTCGCTTTGGGCTCGGTGGATCACGGAGCTCTTACTCCATGCGGCTGCTTTGTTCCACAGTTAGACACCCCCCAGATGTACAGCTTTTAAGAGGAATTACAAAAAATAGGTTTTTTTTCATGTTTAGGCTTTATGTAATTAAATGTGGGATTGGAGAAATGGTATGTTTAGGTTTTTGGAGGGGTCAAATTTTTGATTAGGGCATGTGGAGTTTATTTTTAAAGTATTCCCTCTTCTATGTCTTATTTAGTCCAGTCACCCTCCTGTGTTTGATTTTTGAGCTGCAGTAGCTGTTATACAGGGTGCATCACTCAATGCTTTCCTTGGTCCTCCTGCAAGCCATTTCCTTTGTGAGAGACTGTTAGTGAGCAGATGTGATCCCTTTAAGTTTCTGTTCCAAGACACTGTAGGAGCTGGGACAGCACTGAGTATTAGACACTTTATAACAGTTTCTGCAGGTCTACTATCAAGCATAGGAAGCTGTTTGGAATATAGAGGACATTAATCAAGGCTCCTGCTACTTGTCTGTCCCCATCAACCATCTTAGCCAAGGACTGATGGAGAGAGCTTTAAAAATGCACATTATAAGTGCTGGAAACAAGCAACCCCTAAAGGTCAGGCTCCTGTAGGCAGGCACATACTCTTCTTAATTTGAAATCTGCCCCTGCCTTCACTACTCTAAGATTATTAACCCTTACCTTACTAACTACACCAACATTATCCGTAACCAAAAAAAATATCATACAATATGTATCTAGAACCTCTTAATGGTATTATTTAACCATAACAAATGGATAGATAGATAGATAGATAGATAGATAGATAGATAGATTAGATAGATAGATCCTAAATCTTGCACTAGGTAGTTTATTATATTGCACCATGCACCCGTGACATTACTGCACTGTATGACTGACACCGACCTGGGTCCATCAATCTTAGAAAACCATCCAGACGTTTATTGCCAGACAGCAATCAATATTAATTCTGCCTCTGCCACACCTCTGCTCACACAACTTACATTTACTGCCCATCTTAGTCCAATTAAAATCTTGGTTGGTACACATACCACTGGAATTTTCTCTCCTGTTATATTTTTATACATTTAGACCATGATAGTTTGATAAATCTACCCACTATTTTAAGCTGGAGCGATGGACTGATGTAAGGCAGACTGGGACATAAATGTGGCTCTCTGTAAGTGTGTGACTAACCCTAGAGCCCCAGTAATAATAATAATCTTAATAATAATACTAATAATATAAACCATGTATAAAATGAAATAATGAAGTAATTTTTTTAAACTAATGTGCATATGCCCATCCAGAATCCTTTGCAGTAGTAACATCATTGCAAATCTGTGATTTTTGTAGGAAAAACAAGTCTTATGGCTTGACTGGTGTGCAGATATATGTTTAACATTCTATTGACTTTCCATTGACTTCAGGTAGAAATGGTTTTCAATCACAATTTTTCCCCACCATAACTTTCTTGGCTTGTGCTTTGCAAGTTACGCCAAGCCTCGCTAGCAAGCCAGTAACCAAGCTCTTGCTGATGAGTTGCATCAACAACGAAACAGCTGTCCATGAGTGGTTCACTGGCTTTGCATCTCTTCCCGAGTTGTGTTTCAAAGCTGTTGTAAACAGAAAACGCAAACTCCAAGAAATTCATGTTTAAAATGGAATAATGAGGCAAAAATTAGATTCTTTGAACTAATTTGCATAGAATCCTTTGCAGTAGTACCATTACTGTAAATTGTGTGATTTGTGTGGCAAAAGCAAGTCTTATGGCTTGACTGGTGTGCAGATATATGTTTGACATAAAGAAAAAGAAAAAAAAAGGGGGAGGGGGGAAGAAATGCACATCACAATAACAAAGTAACAAGTTGTTTAAATACACTATTACGTACAATAAATGCCAGCAGTGTTTTCACGTACTGCTCTTTTTTTCCTTGATTTCTTTCTTTATTTTTTTCTTCTTTTAATATAAATCTCTTTAGATCTCATTGACTCGGCATATGTGTAACCCGTTGCAAGAGTAAAAATAAAGACATTGAATGAAGCTTTTCTCAAGATCCTCTGTCCTGATGCTGATTATCGATCAGATGATTAAGGCAGATGAAGAGGGTTTTTGAAAGTGAAGGCTATGTGATTGTGTATCTCCAGTTTGCCCCAAAAGGGGTTTAGAAATCAATACACTCAATCACAGTGGAAAGCATTTCTCTGTCAGTCACACTGACTGAAATGATTAGAATTGAGTCATAAGACAATGAATAACTCCAGTTTCTCTTCCTCTCTTTCTTATACTGCATAGAAAAGCCTAATGAACTCTTCAAGGTAACTGACTAAAGGTACTTGTTTTGCAGCCCATAAACACATTAGTATTCTGTCTTGCATTCCGAAAGAAAATTGTGCTTTTTTGATTAATACATCAGAAACTAATGTGTTTATTAGTGATAATCTCTATTTATCACTTGGCATCTGTAAAACAGTTATTTATAAATTAATTTGAGTTCATTACCACAGGCTGTCTTCTGGAATCCATCTAGTCGGTGTGTGTACGTGTTACAAATGGCAAAACTGCCACAAGTGGAGAAAAGCAACTTTGCAGCCATTTTGATCTAAGTACTGAAGCGATTTAGTAAAAATACGTTTGAACATTTGGGAAATGCAAATCGTAATTGACGTTTTAAACCTTGTCCTTTACTGTAGTGTAAATGTTATCATGATAGAATAATAATTCTGACAAATTACAGGAATTCATTTTTAAAATTAGATTTGTTATGTTAGGCTTTTTGTATTTCTATGGACATGTTTTCTAAAACAGCAAAAAGGTAGCACTAGATGGTGGGATATATAGAAAATTTGAGATATAGAAATAAAGGGGAATTTTTTTTAAATGTTGGTTATGTAGACGTTAAGTCAATTTCTAAAAGTGGAGCAATCACTTTGGAAACTGATGGAATGTTAGTGATTCTGTTTTCATAGTGATTGCTCTAGTTTTAGAACTTTATTCCACTTCCTGTTAGCAAGAGTTTTATAGCCTCCTTCCCCCACTGTTTGACAGTTAAAGAAGAACATTTTTTATTTCAACATTTCTTTTTTTGCCATGAATTTAACGAGTCTAAATAAAATCACTATACTGTCTATTCTAGAATTACGTCTCTAGTGAATAGATCTCTTTGTTTTAACTTTGTTGGAAAGAACCCTTCATTTACAGACACATTCTATGACATCAAACATATTGCCCTGTCTAATGTTTGTCATTCATCATTTTAATGTCTCCTTATTTGCACTTCACTAGCAAATAATGTAGATGCTGGGATTTACTGATATGTGAAAAAAAAAACCCAGTGGGAAAACATCAGAAAGCCACGTGGATATAAAGCACAATTGGCAAATTCCCTATGTTTAGACAACAATTTGCCTCTGTTCAGAAAAATGCATGCACTGCTTGTATAATAGTCACTGTGTATGCAGATTTTGAGACAATCACATTTGCAGTCTAACAATGAAATCCATTGTGTGATGTCCAAGGCAGATCTATATAATCCCATAAAATTTATTTTCTTTAAGAAATCTTGCTATGTGTATTTAATAATGTATATTATACGAAAACACATTTTTTTTAGTTCTTTTTAATTAATCAGATTACATATTTTTTTAGATGTCTGGTACAATATCTAATGATGGTGAAAGGAACACACTGAGTCAAAACTGCTCTGGCTTAATAAAGCATTTTTGGTGTAAAGAAGTTGCAATGCCATTGCTCAATTCTCTGCCATTTAAGATTAAAATCACTTGCAGATGTGTTACTAGACATTTCCTGAAAAGAGATTACATTTTTAAACTTTCCATGTGCATAGTGTGTTTAATTTAGCTCTTATCTCCTGCTGTGTTTAATTGCCTGATAGAGCCAGCAGCAGCCTCTTGTGTGTGACTAAAGATCAATTCACTAAAGTGAATTAGGAACTGCACTCGATCCCATCAGTATGAACCTGGGTAAAACTAAACTAGGACCCAGCACCAGGTCCTAAGTACAATATATGAACAACAGGAAAAAGTTTAGGCACTCCAAGGTTCAAGCAGGCAAATTTTTTTGAACCAAATGTATGAAGCAACAGGAAAAAGTTTAGGCACTCCAAGGTTCAAGCAGGCAATTTTTTTTGAACCAAATGTCATACAGCAACGTTTCGACCAAAGAAAGCTTAAGAAAGACCTCTTGGGTCGAAAAGTTGCTGTTTGACATTTGGTTCAAAATTTTTTTCCTGCTTGAACCTTGGAGTGCCTAAACTTTTTCCTGTTGTTTATTTAAAGTTCAATTCAAAACTGCCCTGCATTCGCTTGATCCTCCAACTAGCATGAACATATCTTCCTCAAAACCACCATGCAAATTTGGCATTTCCCCTCCCCAAAATTAATTTACCTTCCCTTTTCTTTGCCACCACTAGTGAAATCATGAAAATAGAACAGTGTTACTACAGGGAGACTATGTATACATCCAAACGATTTCATTAAAGGAACACTACAGTAAAGTGTTAGGAATGCATTTTTTCACTCATTATAAAGGGTCCCTCCCCCTGTGTGTGACATAAAATTAATTTAAAAAACTTGCTTTTTAGTTACCTTTTTCCAGTTTGGAGGCTCCCATGGCTCTGCTTATCTCTCCTCCTCCCACAATGTCATGGGGAAAGCATGGCCTCCTTCAGGATGACCTCCTCTGGCATGGCCCAATACATTGCTCCTCATAGAGG